ATGACATCATCCTCATTAAGTTTTTTCTGAGATGGGGCTTATATCAGTAATGTAATTTTGGGAGTCTTTAGCACAGCTCTAGCAGAAATGCACAGCTAAAGGAGTGTGAGAAAAAACATGTTTTAGTGTGGAAAATGGGCCCGCAAAACCTAAATCTGGAAGAGGATTCAAGAGCCAGTGACAACATAAAAAGCACAGTAGTTTAGTTAATTGATTATATTTTACTTAGAAAATGCTCTTTAAATTCTATTTACATAAAAATGACAAGCACTAAATCACTGCAGAAAAAAAGATTATTCAAAATTGCAAATGTTTGCAATCTTCTTTTGGCAAGTTCAAGCTAATAACCTTAGCTTTTAATACAGTCCTATAATACATTTTTCTTACTCTGAAAATAAAACCACAAGTTTTTTAATATCATTACTGGACAACTGAAAATTAGCATTTTAAATGCATTTTTTCTCTTCTCATCATGGAAATTGACCCTTTCCTGAGGTTCAGGGTTTGTGTGCACACATTCACAGGAAACTAGCTTCTGCTTAATCATGAAAAGTAAGGAAACTATAACCCTGTGTATTTCCAATGTCCATGGACATTTTTCACAACTCTGGCTAGGCCAAAGAGGTTTTCTATGAAGGACAAAGATCTGCTAATCAGCAGTAATGGAAATGAAAGAAAGAAATTTTGTGGATCACACTGTCTGTGGATTTTAATGTTGTCCAGTGGTCCTTAGAGAAAGAAACACGACTTCAGAAAGAACGCTAATACCAAAACAGCAGTAACATTTTGCACCATCTGTAATTAATAAAACAAGAAATAAAATAAGTGTAGCTATGTAACTGACACTGAAGTTTCTAACGAAAACAGACAAGAGTTTCATCTTTTTATCAGTATATTTTTAATGACTGACACTATCTAGAAAGAAGCTGTATTATGAAGAAAATAATATAGTGCCAAATAATCAGAGTCTCACATTTTCTCTGAGCTGTGGATACATTTTATTCATCACAAGTCTACATACCTATGCACAATCATACAAAGAACCTTTCCTAAGCCTACCTCCTCACTCCACTTCCTGGAAATCTTTTAGTATCAGAGACAATGGCAGAGAAGTGAGATACTTCTACAGCTGCATCCAATGCCCTCCTCATTGTTTCTTGCTTTTCATACTTCTTTTATGGGAGGAAGGCTTTCTGGTTTGCACTGGTATGACAAGAACACTTGTATCAAATATGATAGCATGTTCATGATACTCTTCAAGTCATAGTGAATAAGCTAAACTGTTTCTGATACTATAGCCTTGTTTTTCTTCAGTCATATCTGTTTCTGTGAGCTATCAGGATTTCTAATTAAATCAAAGAATTAAGAGGAATTATATAAAACTATATGTAGACATACTCATTTAAATTCTGTATCAGCTCAGACTCCCATGCCCAACTGGGAACAGGCTGTATTGTTATTCACTGGTGTTGCAAAAGTGCTCTGGAAGTGCTTCTGCTGTGTTTCTGAAATCAGATCAAAATGCCAGTACGTATTTTTATATTATCACTTTGTAAAAGAAGAATAAAAGGAACACAGCTCTTTACAAAACCGAGCCATGACAATAGGACTCCTTTTGCATCATTTATCTGATATAGCAACATACATTTTAAAAGTTCAGCATATTTCAAATTTTGAACTAGTCTAAGAACATATGAAGATGTTCTCTGTGTTTCTTCAAACATTTGTTCTGTATGCAGTCTTTTGCTGCTTCAGCAAGCTCTCAGCAGAAGTACATTTAATAGCTAAAGGGCATCCTGTCTTGCTGTACATCATTATTGAAATAATATTGAGTAGAATCTCCAGGGCATTAAATTTACTTTTTCATTGAAAACTGTGATTCATCTGAATGAAAGCAACTCTGCAATGAATACTATCTGCCCTTCTCTGATCAGATGTTTTCAAATGCACTAGCTTGAAGTGCTACCTTGAACTTGGCAGAAAAGGTAGCGTATTTTTCACAGTACCTATTCAATCATTCATCCAAAGGTAGGTAAATAGTTAACGTTTATGTATGGGTTTCAATACATTCTGCTTTATTATAGCACCTGCCACTGAAGATCTCAAAGTAATTTGTGAACATTAATCAGCTGAGCCTCATGACTATTCAGCCAGTATGTTATTACACAGACTGGTAAACAGAGATGTGAAAACACATCAGACTTCTCAGTAGGGCTGTAAGAGATGAGCAGTAGCTTTACCTTCCGCTTCATCCCCTAGAATAGGACCTTTCTGTCTGTTGTTTCATCTAGAGGGGCACAGAAAGCAGCACTAGTTAAGGAAAGCAGACTGGTCCCAGTACTCCTGCCAGCAAAAGATACTGAGCAAAGAAACGTGTTTTAGTCCAACCACTACCAGTTAGAATCCCTGCTCCCTTCCCTTCTGCCCTTTCCTGACACTGCTGTTGGTATGGTGTCCTGGACCTTGCCAGCAAGCTGGAACCAGCTGATTCCTGGAACTGGCTGTTGAAAGGCTTTTGAAAGATCTGGTTCTTCAGGGCTACAAAATCCTAATGTGGTGTGGCCAAAGTCTGAGAGGAGTTACAGGCCACTCTGTTATTCTTTGCAGGCTGGGCACGTCCCACATATTGCCAGATAAAAAGCTGAAGTAGATCAGTTTAGTCCCTCATTGATCTTTTCTTATCCAACCTCTCCACATTTTGCAGTGATCATATTTGCTTACATGCCAAAGGCTGAAACATCATTATGTCTGAACCTAATGATCTAATCAAACTAGCTTTAATCAATTTAGCTCAAGCACCAAGAGTGGGAAGATGCAGGCTTCACTGTAGGCTATGCAGTCCCACCAGGACACCCAGGCAAGCAGCTACTCCTGCTGCCCTCTGCGCTCCCACAACTCCACTGAGAGTGGTACCAAGTCAGATGCCCCGGCCATGCACAGCTGTAATCACACCTCCCAACAGCCGAGTCTGCACCTTCACAGGAGGAGAGAACTCCTAGCCTGAGGAATTCACGGACTAAACAGACAAGGCAGAGACACAAAATCAGAAATCACAAACAAAACTGAGTGGCTACATGGAGTCCAACAAGAATGGTAAGTGTGAAAGATATATGTCCAAAATCAAAGGCTGCTAACTGCTTTTATTAGCAATGAAAGCTCTGCCTTAGAGAGAGCAGAGGCAGAAAAGCGGAGGCTAAGCTCATAAATTGCGTGTTTGTTCCTCTTCCCTTCAGTGACTCCATGACATGTTATCATGTCATTCTTGTAAATGTTTCAAAGAAAAGTTTTTGAATGATAGTGCTTTGCTATAGTCCCTGCTGTTGGGAAGGGCTATGCAAACATCTGCCATACACTCCTCAAATAAAATTCAACTAGAGCTTTTGTTTATGTGGTTTGTCCTTAAAACCAGCACTCAGCTGCAACTTTCAGCCATAGCTGCCTTATTAAAAATGAACCTTTATTTTAAACACAGTACATTTTGTAACAGGAAAATCAATATACAGTAACCCAGAGTACTGCAGACAACAGCTGTAGGACATAATCTGATGACAGAAAGTTGAGAACAGTATTTTGGCAGTTGTATGTTCAGCTAATCTTTCACTTTTTGTTTTTAATGGCACCGAGCTATAAAGATCTGAGATTTCTCCCCACCTGGTGACCCAAAGCTACACAAAATGAAGAAACCAAGAAACCACTGTTTTCAATGTTAAACGCTATTAAATAAAAAGTAAATCAGTTATTTATTTTTTCCTTTCTACGACACTGTAGGTCTTCCCAGAGCTACAACGAGTTAACAACAGCCTCAGTGATCTCACAGCCCTTAGCAAAGATATAGGAAGATACTTAAACATAAAGAGTACCTTGAAAAGACTACTAAATACTTTTCACTGCCTTCACTTTGGCTGTGGGTAAGGGTGCTCCGCTCTGTTCAAGGCTGGGATTCACAATGCACCTATGTTTAGAAAAGTTACCTAGGTAGAAAAGAGGGAATGAAGCCACAAATATGCCTGGTACACAGGAGTATAGAACAAACATAAAGATCTTAATAGAGACTGCAATTTTGATCATCTGTCACTTTTTCTTTATAAACAGAAAGTTTACAATTAGAGACAAACTACTCCATGTATGGTTTTATGCCATCATTAAATACTGAATCTACAGGACTAACTAGGGATTTTTGGAACCCACCCATTTGTCCTTAGAAGGTGGGAGATGATTAGTTCTCTAAAATGGCATGTGATTCACTTTGATTACAAAATAAACTCAAATACATTTTCTTGTTGAGCAAAAGGCAAAGGGCGCTAAATCATTCTGTACAGAAATTGCTTTTTTCACCACATCCCACTGAGTATATTTTCCTCAGATAATGAAGCTGTTTTTTTAAAGGTTTCCAATCCAGATTTATGTGGCAAATGCTTTAATTAAGATTGATATATTCCATTTGTTTAGCTTTCAGAATTGTATATGGAAGTTTTAACTTGAACTGCATTGCCCTCTAGTGCTGTGACGGGGCCGGCCGCGGTGATGTCACTAGCACAGGCAGCGCGAGCACAGCCAGCCAGTTCATGCAGAGCTGCCTAAATGCTGACAAACCCTTCGTGGAGACGCATGTCACAGCAGCTAGGCAGGGGCATCCTTCCAACAGAACCACAAATGCACAAGGGAAAACAGTAAACCTGTCTTTTATTCCAGGGACGTCATGATCAAAACGGCTACTTTCGAGCTCCAGCCAAGACTTCTGCCTGCTAATTTCTGTTTAAACGAGTCTGTATGAGAAATTAAGCAAGTTTGAACAGCCTATTATTTCTGACAGGCTTCAGAGGACTTCACGCTGTGCAAGTTTTACGTGCTTATAGCTGACAGCTTGCTGGGGAGATGAGTTCTCAATCTAAAACTGGCCGTGGCTTTGAAGCAACTTCTTGGGTAGAGAGATAACTTTCAACTGAACTCAAACCATCTGCGTGTTGTGCAAGGGATCCAACCATAACTTGCTATGGAGGATGATTTTTAAGATGAATACCTACCTTGGCGATAAATCAAATTCATCGATACCTGGATATTTGAAAGTGTCTGCACTAAATAATGGCAATCTTTCTGCAAACAACTCCAATGAGACAGCAAGCAATCTGGATTCACCTGCCTTGGATATCAGTAGGGCAATAATTGTGGGGCTTATCCTAGGTGCCTTTATACTCTTTGCTATTATAGGTAATATCTTGGTAATTCTCTCTGTTGCTTGCAATAGACATTTAAGAATACCTACAAACTATTTCATAATTAACCTCGCAATAGCAGATTTGTTGCTGAGTTTTACTGTCCTTCCATTCTCTGCTACACTGGAAATCCTTGGCTACTGGGTTTTGGGGAGGATATTTTGTGATATCTGGGCAGCAGTTGATGTGCTATGCTGTACAGCTTCTATTTTAAGTCTATGTGCAATTTCTATAGATAGATATATAGGAGTACGTTATTCTCTCCAGTATCCAACTTTGGTAACAAGAAGAAGGGCAATTTTAGCTCTCCTAGGTGTCTGGGTCCTTTCCATGGTGATTTCTATTGGGCCTCTTTTGGGCTGGAAAGAACCAGCACCCAAGGACGATAAAGAGTGCCGTATCACTGAAGAACCATTCTATGCTTTGTTTTCTTCCTTGGGGTCATTTTACATTCCTTTAATCGTCATCCTTGTGATGTACTGTCGGGTCTATATAGTGGCAAAAAGGACTACTAAAAACCTGGAAGCTGGGGTTATGAAAGAAATGTCCAACTCCAAGGAGCTGACTTTACGGATTCATTACAGGAACATTCATGAGGACGCATTAAACAGCACCAAATCCAAGGGTCACAATCCCAGGAACTCCTTAGCTTTCAAACTTTTTAAATTCTCTAGAGAAAAGAAGGCAGCGAAGACGTTGGGAATTGTGGTTGGCATGTTTATCTTGTGCTGGCTACCCTTCTTCATTGTTCTGCCACTAGGTAAGTTGGTAATCAAGGGATTGCGATGGGAAGGGGAGGAAGACGGTTAGTACTTTACTACAAAAATGTCATAGAAAAAAATCAGATGAATGATAAGTAGATATAACTTTGAGAACTGCAGGTGAGCAGATGAAAGGAAGGGAAGTGAAAGTAATTTACTTCTGATGTTGGCTTTTTCAAAGAGTCATGCTGAAACTTTTTAAAGTGTGCAGCCTGCAGAAAGTCTGCTTATCAGGTAGTTCTTCTCAGTGATGGGGGTGGATGTCAAATCAGGGGACAAAATCTTCAGAGTTAATATATTAAATCCCCTTTATGATCCTTGTTTGAATTGAATTACATTTCAGAAACATATTTATAGGATGCTTTAACAAAAATCCTGGATAAGAAGACAAAAAGACTTCAGCACTGAAATGTTCTTGTTTTAGTTTACCGTTAGATGTTCAGACTACAATACAGTAGGTCTTCTGGCATTATTAGGTGTCTTAAATGGAAATGAACCGGATCTAATGATGAGGTGCAAAACTCCCTTGAGCTTTGGGAAGCTGAAAAAGTTCCAGTTCTTAGTTCAAACGTCACTGATCAAATCCCAAAAGCAAACACATGAAGCTCACTGATCCTCACAGAAAGGTCCTCATTGGTTTCAACAGGTCTTAGTTCAGACATTTCAGGAGATTGCCATGTGAGCTTTTGTCAGCCACTTCGTTCACTTTCAACTTTTCAACTTTAAAATACTATTAAAGCGTTTGATGTAGCGCTTTGTTTGCTTTTTTGATTTGCTCTGTGTTCCCAAGTCCTTGCTTGTATTGTCTTTAACACTAGCACTACCTCTGAAGTGGAATATCTCAAGACATTGAATTACTAAGCTCTCAAAAATGTCTGTCCAAAATTCATTTCTCTGAGACACAGACAATCTGGCAGCCTAAATATGGAAAGAGTTGGAAAAGGGAAAGGGAGAAAAAGCCTTTACTGATGTTCTGTATTCATGTTTACTTAGTTACTCTACCAAAACATTTCTAATTAAGTGGTAAGCAAATATTTTGAGAGACTTGTAGAAAACTAAACTGAGTTCAGCAACCTGGTCCTGTTGAAGGGTTATAAAATTATAATTTCAGTGAATGTGTAATATAATTTAGACTAGAATCTTTACTGCAAGGCAATTACTTAAGCTAATTGTTGCAGGGCAACTTTATAATCTCTAGCTTACTGTATCATAAACTTAAAAATCTTTATGATTCAATAACCTGCATAAAGCTAATGTTAAGGATGTGAAAAATTCCAAACAGAAGGAAAATTGTGAGCAAAGTTCTCTTTGGCTACTGAAGTTTAAGTCCTTGTGCTGGCTCTTAAAGAAAGTTTATAACACAGAGCAAGTTTCCAATTACTGCAAAAATATATACCTGTGGATAGAAATATGTTTTCACCATATGGTACCAGTAGTACTAGATATGTAGCTAGTAGGTCATGATCCTATGATAAAGTAGATTCTCTCCTTTATTTTGAATTATTGTAAGAACTTGGGAGAAAAAAACCCAAATGTGAGCGCAGTAGAGCATATCCTTAGCTAGCAGAAGCCAGTATAGCTACTGACACTGTTCAACAAACACAGATGCAGACCAGTCCATTAAAAACAATATGGTCACAGGCAGAAGCAATGTAAGAAACAAGTTTTTTGAAAGGCTGTCAGCTTTCCCTTTGAGAAGTTATTTCAAAACTCCTGGTATTTCCTAGGAGGTTTAATGAGTTGTTGCTTAAGACACCTGAGTGGAGAATTTATTGCTTGTCACAATACAATTTTATCTCTCCTATAAACTGTGTCCAAGGCATCAGTGAGGTGACAGGCTGAGAGCCTCCACCACAGTGTGCTGTGTGCTGGCAGAAGCGCTGGGTGGGCTGAAGGGCTAAACCCACTGCTGTGGGCTCTGACCCGCCACAGACTAAGTGCCTGTGGCCCCCAATATACTCACTTCAGCACTGTGAGTACTCGGTGCCCCATAGAGCTGAGGTTCAGGAACAGTTGCTATTGTGTCAGTTTGAAGAGTGAAAAAATCAGCATCTTGGCATTGCAATATAGACTGCTGGCTCTCCTGTCCTCTAGAAACGCTTTCAGCGGCCCAACTCTTAACTGACAGCCTTTAGTCTAAGAAAGGGGGGGGAAGGAGGGAGGTATACATAGTAGCCCATATAGTATCCAAATGCATTTAAATAGTAGGTACTTTGCTTTGCTGACAGGGAATAGGGGTGGTTTTGTTCCTTGTCCCTGTTTTCTTTTTTTAACTTATTCAGCACACTCCAGAAACTTGTGCTTTTCATCTCTGTGTATCAATGCAAAGTTAATTAATTATGTTAGGCATGAAGAATTGCTCACTACAACAGGTGGGGAAATGACCTTTTCCTGACCTGCATAATACAGCCATTCTTAACTGGCAAAGAGAGTAGAGCAGTGGAGAAAGACTCCTTAAGGAGATTGCTGTGTGCTGCATTCTTCATACCAGAAATCTTTTGCTTCGTGTCTTCAACTCACAAAATTAAATTAAATGCTGTTACGAACCCTTACAAAAAGCACACGATAGTATGAAATTAACTTCAGTGACAGGCAAACTGTAGAATCCAAAAGCTACTGATGATTAACAGAACTATCCATAGGTGCCCTGGGCTACTATAATGACAACCCACTTGCTCATAAGTGCAGGACTGCAACTACAATACCTTTTGTGCTACTGAGTCCAGACTAGATATTTACCTGGAAGGATAGGCTTCTTACTTATTTTCTGTATTTTTCACACCTTATATTTGCACCATTAACCCAAATCATTCCCTCACATCCACATCTTTACGATTTATTTTTTTCCTCCATGTTTCAGTAAGTAATGCCATGACTCTGCAGAATGGCATTAGCAGAGCAGCTTTGGATTTCTGAGGATCCAACCACAAAACATTTGACAATTCGGTAAACATTATTTCTACAACACCCCAAAACCATGTCTGAACAAATCTGCTTATATGTAGATGAGTTTACTTCATGTTAAAAGTGTTCTCAACTCTTCTACTAGTTTCTCAGACAAAATTATAATCCTTCCACTCCAGCATTTCAATATATTCCACAGCTACCCATTTTGATATCCCTGACAAAGGATTATTGCATCAGGTGGCAGATACATACTGGGAACTGATGTGGTGCTGAAAGCAGGGATATTGCTTGAATAAATATTTCACAACAAAGGAAAAGAAATAACATTAAGACTTCCAAAGTGTTTTTCAAGCGAGAATCAAGCTTTGCAAGGAAAGCTCTCTGACAGAGCTCTGTATACAGCTACAGAGAGGAATTACGGCACTGACACTATGATGTACTGAGCATCATGAAACGATCAGCACAAAGAATGACCCACAATCTCTTTTTGTAGAACTGAACCATGCTGCTTTTAGTGTTAAACACCTGATGATGCAGCAAAACTGGTATCAAAGAGACGCATGTGAGAAATTTGGTTTTATTTCAGTAGTTACTAGATATTCTTCCCAGATAGCAATAGAGATATAAAATGTCCTTTTTGTGCACATTCATAAAGGCTCCATGGCTTTGTAAACAGTTGTCTTGCCACTCAAAATTATTTGTGGTACAGCAAAAAAATAAAATGAAGACATATGTGTCTTTGAGACAACTTCTTGTGCCATAAATTCAGTGACTCAGCTTTGAGGAGTAAATATCTTGCTTCTTTAAAATTAATGCTTCTTTTCTTCCCCCTCATCCAAATCCTTTCTTAGGCATCAGGACTATATTAAGTACGCGTTGCTGAAAAATGCTGAGTAAAATAGATAACTTTTATCTAAAGAATAGAGCGCTGCAGAAATAAGGTAACACTCATTAAAACTCCCTCCTTTAAACAAAGTAATATCCAATTTTATGCCAATACCTTTATTGAAAAAATGAATCCAAAATGAAGGATCATATGTTTTCCTCTGACTACTAAGTAAAAGTTTAGCCTAATTCCTGTTAATTGACATATCAGATTGGGCTTGCCAGTCTTCTCTCAGACACACACACCCTGCAAAGGGAAAACTCACAACCTCCAGTACTTTAACTAAAGCATATTAACTTACCCATCCCATTGCTTAACTCCAGTGAGATCAGCAGAGCATTATTCACTTCCCAGTTCAGAGCCTAACTCCCCCTGCTGCCACAAAGCCTGTGATCATATTGGCTGAAGTCAGAAACAAAATTCTTTTAACTTAACTGTCAGTGGGATAAGGTCCTAAGAGCCTCATAATGAAGATACAAATGTTTTTACTATCCTTACATATTAAGCTTTTGAAACCTCTCTATAAAATAATAGAAAAAACCCATAAAGTATTCTGCATGCTACAGGTCAGCCAATACAAAATTATTCTTAAAATAAAATGTTATTCAAGTACAGTATGTAGATTTATGTTACATAAGGCCAACCTCTGCATCTCTGCACCAAGAATACCAAATTAGGCCACTTAGTTTCCCATGGGAAACACTTCAAGGCATTAGGTCCAGTGTTGTCAATGCTACCGGGTTCTGCTTTCTGCAAGGCTTTAGGCCTCATTTGTCTCTCATCTCATTTTGGTCTTGTGCCCTCTTCCCCTCCCTAACTAGCCTAGCTATCTAGATTTGATGCTGTCAAGTCAATAGTTATACAGAATTTCGACAAATTTATGATATATGTAGCAATCTTACCCTCTGCCCGCTTGCAGGTCAATGTTTGGTACAATGTTCAATTGCACAGGTGATAGCAGGAACCTGCTCCTCCTATTTTCTAGCCAATTCCTGTGAAACTAAACATCATAACGGCATTTCTTGACCAGTACAGCATGTTTTGTCACACATGAAGGGCTAGATTATTTTAAGATTATTCGGTTTACTATTAAAATATCCTCCCTTAAGCACCGGGTTAAGCCTTTTGGTTTGCAAAGGATGCCAATTATCAGTTACTTACAAACTTTTATTTTTGTTATTTGTTATCAAAGCAGACAAAACTGCA